ATGTAAACTACACACAAGAAGGCTGGTGCGGGAATCGAACCCTGCACCTCTGTATTGTGAGGCAGACATGTTAACCACTCGACCACCGTAACTCCACAAAACGTTATCAAAATGACAAATGTGTTGAGTGAATATGTGGCCGAGGATCAGACTTGAAAATTACGTTTGTGTGTTTTTTAGGTTTTTCACTTTGGGTGGCTCTATTTTAACAAAGTAGCAATGGTTACAGTAAATATTCCCACCTACGGCGTTCTTTCAAACTGAATTTCCCTCACCCAGACTAAAAACCCATGCATTAAAATTTTGACTACGATGTTACATTAACGATTAATTCATAACAACGGAATTTCCACGATCTGGAACCCGGAAGCCATACAGAAGCACACAGTAGCGCAAACACAAGCAAGTCTGCTCGTGTCGCTATTTACTCTCAATGGATATAAAACGGTGACATGTAAGTGACTCTATTAGCATGAGATTTGCTGGAATAGTGAACAATTTTTATTTCGTTCACAGCTCCGATTTTCCTGAACGCAACATACTCATAGCTGCTCTGTCATTGACTTCCCGAGCATCATCCTGGCCTCCCATTGGCCAAGAAGGACCTCAATATCTATGTGTGGAAATACTGTAGCTAGATCGGTGGAAGAAAGAGTGGAATGCATCCAATTAGCTGCTCAGAGTGAATTGCTTGGGGCTCAACGGACAGTCGAATAAACGAACGTTTCCTGGAATGCTTTACTTGTTGTCATGCTAAAAGCCTTTCGCTAACTGGAGCGCTAGGTAGCGATAAGGCGAGTTCCATCACAATAACTATGGCCATCGAGGACTTCGAAGCGTCCCGTGGCTGGCTTTAAAAGTTCACTGCGTGAGATAAGCTGAGCAACGCTGTCTTGGGTGGCGATCGAGAGGTGGTCAAGTTAGAGACAGTGAGATAGTGGAAAGAAAAGCCACCGGGTTTGTTACTCGTCTTATTTTAGAGCAAATAGTCCTAAGTTTGTTGTACTGTATTTTGTTCATATACCTGTACAGGATAATGAACTGCAGCTTTTGTGTTATAAACAGTGTGAGGAGCACGTATTTTTGCATTTCATTGCTTGTGTTGTGACACATGTATTTTGTTCACATACTTGCATGTTCATAAAGGACATGTACCATGCTCATTTCCCACATAAGGAAAGTCTGTTATAAGTACAGATTGGAGAGCACAAACATGATTCCGTACGAGAGAATATTTACTGTATATCATGTATCGCCATCAATAATTAGGGGCCCAGTTGTGGTGGAGCCAATTTCACTATCCTCCCGAGTGGTGCTGTGTGGCGTGGTGTTAAGATACCGAAGAGGCCGTCCACTTGTGACCCTCCACAGTGGTCTCCATCACCTTCTGATATCATGTGTTGATATGAGCTGCTGCCTGGAGGCCCCACCCCTCTCCCCGCATCACTTTGGCCTTCGTCTTCACTTTTTAAAGGGACACCAGTCGATGACAACTTGCAGATATACCCCTCCTGCTCCTCTTTGATGTAGGGAGGCTTTCCTTCATCCTCCTTGGAGTGGAGGTGCTCTTCCTCCTTCTCTTTGATGTGACTGTGACCTTCATCCTCCTTTTTAATGACAGAGGGGTCTGGCTCCTCCTTTTCTTGAATGCAGGAGCGCTCTTCACCCTCCACCTCCTCCTTAATGTGGGGGGACTGCAGCTCCTGCAGTCCAGGACCAACATCTTCACGGATGCCTACAAGACACACGAAGATAAACACAAAACGTTTGGTCATGTCAATTCTCATGTTTGAACTTGGAATTTGCGCATGATTGTTTGTACTTGCTTGAGGTTGATTTGTGCTCAAAGCTATTCCAATATATGGGTAAAAAGGTGTTCAGTGTTTTTCCTGCGTTCAAAATTCCATGGCGGCCACCCCCAGCCAGATCGATTGATATCACTCAACAGAGCGTCGAGCTCCAGCTGTACTGATTGAGCGATGGATGTCCTTCTGTCGCAGCGTATGTAACTGCAGCTGCAACACTGCGCCACTATGGAGGTGCTCCATCAACAGCAGTACATTGTACAAGATCGAAGTATTTTTTTATTCCTCTTTCCATCTGGTCTCAAAAACACATTTGCCACTTGACAACAAATAATAGAATCTTAAAAAGAACTATAAAATTGTTAGGGTCCAGTGAAGGGATGTAAGTGGAGGAGTTAAGTGTTTGGTCTGATGAGTACTAGTCAAGAGGCGAGCAGCAGGATTCTGGACCAACTGGAGATGCTTCATGGAAGATTGCCTGACCCCAAATTATAGTGCATGACAGTAATTTGGACGAGATGTGACGAAGCCATGCTGCCTCAGATGAAAGAATCTGGAGTTAACAACAGGTTCTTCAACCTTCTAACAACTTGGAGAACATCACTCAAAGACACTCAAAGAATAGGCAGGTCAATGTCTCTTGCCAAATTCTTGACCTACATTGACAAAGAAATCATCACATTCTTTAACAAGCTTCTCTTTCTCACCAATAATTGTCTTGCTCAAAAATATTTGTTGGAATGTCTCGATGATGGCAATTTTTTTATTATTTCATTTAAACCCTCTCTAAATACTCCATGTATCCTTTTTTGTGGGGGGGAATCTTAACTTCTTGCCACTCGTGATTCAAACGCTCCACTGCTTCTGATGATGTTACCCTGTTTAACTTGGGCGTCTGTCTTTCCATTTTTTTATACTATCTTATCATCCATTTCTAATGTTGGTGGGGGAGAGTCGGCCTTTCTCTTCCTCTGCATGTTCATTAATTTCGGATGATGAGAATGTTGGTTAATCCAAACACAGGCTGGAGATGATGAACAGTACCTTCGAAGGTTTTATTTTTCTTTTTTGCAGTCTACGAATCGATTCGGGCTCCTGAGCGTTTCAGATTTCGTCAGGAAGCGTTGAGAAAATCCAGTCACGAGAATATGCAGAGATAATGATAATAAGAGGTGGGCAGTTCCGCCCCCATGGAAATCCCGGATACAAAGAAATTAACATGTCATCTGACCCGGTGTGGCTGGAAAAAGTTGGGAGTGGTGAGGTGAGACCAGGCCACCACTACCCCCTATTGCAGTGTTTTTTGAGCCACGGCACACTTCTTTCGTTGAAAAAATCTTACGGCACACCCCGAGCTGAAAATGTGAAAAAAAGCTTATTTTAACAATCAACGTGATATATTGTTACTATATCCGTTTTTTAACATTGAAGAATGACGTTATAAATGCTTGAATTGGAATCAAATAAACACAAAGAAAAAAGTGTTTTATAATCTTTCATTTTTATTTTATTTTATTTTTTTAATTTAATTTTTTTTTTACCGTCGTCCTGCATTCATGCATCACAAATTCGCTTGTCTCTCGACTTAACATAAGGCAATTGGCTAGCTGTTGCTCCTCCCTAGTGGTATGGAAGGGTACTACTACATGATTACTTTGCCAGGCGATAGACCGCACAGGCATACAAATTGGTTATTTTCCCACGGCACAGCTGACAATGTCTCGCGGCACACTGCACGTTTAAAAAAAACACTGCCCGATTGTCTTCAGTATGAGCTTTGATGTAATGGCAGCAACAAGGATACTTGAGATAACAATTCCTCTTTTGATGTTAAACATGTCCTCTGGAGGTGGCCCTAAAAGTGGTGGGGGTCAAGGGGCACGAAAGACGATTGTTCTCACAGTGAGCAGGAAATACCTTCAACAGCATTCTACGTTCTTTGTTTCAAGTGTTTGAACAGAACCAACAACAGAGAGGGGCTTAAAAAAAATCACAGTTAGGAATAGATTCCTGAACACTAACAACGCAAAAACTGGTAAATGGTGTAGTGCAGGGCAGTGTTTTTCAAACTTTTTTGAGCCAAGGCACACTTCTTTCATTGAAAAAAATCTCGCGGTACACCACTAGCTAAAGATGTGACACCCCCCCCCTCCCCCGCGCTTATTTTACCCCAATATATTAACTGTAATATATTTTATATATTTTAATATATTGTCAATACATATATTTTACAATATATTATATATTGGCCATAATATATTGTTATATAGTGCAATATATTGCAAAATATACAAATGATTGCCGCTTTTCATATATTGCAATATATTGCGAAATAGCTTACAATATATGCATTTATATAGTACAAAATATATGTAAT